CCCATATAGTATATATCGCATTTATTTTATTATCACGTGTGCGTCAGCTGACTGTGTTTGGTACATAGGCTGACATAGATGAATGCTTTATATTTTACACTTGAATTCACTATGACTGACATCTGTTTTTGTCTCACAGATCCCTATGCTTTTGTTTGTCTAATGACAAGAAGTCAGAAGACTGAAACCAAAAAGAAGACATTATGTCCAACTTGGGACCAGACTCTAATTATAGATGATTTGGAAATCTATGGAGACCCAATGAAGCTGGCAGAGAATCCACCTGATGTTGTCTTTGAAGTTTTTGATTGGGACGCAGTGGTAAGATATTAAGACCACATCCTAATAACAACATTTTAAAGCTTTATATCTCAAACAAGTTTATAATGATATCATTTTTGTTTTTAAACTTGTTTTATTTTGTATCACAGGGCTCTCCTGAGTTCATGGGTCGAGTGATGGTTAAACCGTTGGTGAAATTGGAAGGTAATGATCCAAGGGTGCCAAGGTTATTATGGTATACATTAAAACGTGGCAATGATGATGCTGGTGAAGTGCTAGCTTCTTTTGAACTCTATTTGGTAAGTGAATTATTGTAACTGAATGTACAATGTAAGGTATATCTATTTATCTTATCAGAATTTATCATACACATGGAATACACATGGAATACACAGCCTGACTGATCCCAATATTGGATAATTCATCAAATACGGGAAACACTGTACAGTCTATTAGTTCGTATCACTATGGTTGCTAAATACTTGACCACAGTGTATGTTTGTATCACTATGGTTGCTAAATACTTGACCACAGTGTATGTTTGTATCACTATGGTTGCTAAATACTTGACCACAGTGTATGTTTGTATCACTATGGTTGCTAAATACTTGACCACAGTGTATGTTTGTACAACTGTTTATGACCACTAATCAACAACTGCATATTTAATGTACTTGGCTTGTTAGTCCCCGTTCGGACGCAGTCCAAAAAAGGGGACTTATGTTTTGACCTCTGTGCGTTTGTGCGCCCGTGCTTCCGTCCGTGCGTGCGTGCGTGCGTGTGGACCTGTATCTTAGAAATGCCTGGACCAATCACAATCAAACTTCACACATACATCATACATGATATTATACATATGCACATCAATTTGTTTTATGATCTGATTCAAGATGGCCGAATGACGGCCATTTTCATTCTAAAAATCATCAAAATCAAGCATGTTAAAACTTCCTATATACATGTACGTTGGACATTGTAGGACCTTGATGCACATTATTTTGTTTTCAGATATTAAGATTCAAAATGGCTGATCAGATACAAATGTCAATCATTTAAATGTTAAACAATCATCATAATCATATTCCAGACATGTTTATATTCCAGCTACATTACTATAAACAAAACTATATATCTTAAATTCGATAACTAACTGGGACTGTGCCATGCATGGCTTATTTTAGCTGTCATTCCACATTCGACTGAGAATGTGCAAGAAAATAGAAACATGTTAGTTTGCAGAAGTTGAAATTGATCAGTATAAACTATATCATCACATTTGGAAATTTTTTTTTCAGACCAAATTACACTTTACAAAATCATTACTGAATCCTGGAATTCTGGCATTCCCATGATGCCCTGTTTCAGATCATTATATCCAGTTGTCACTAGGCTTGATAATTTACATATGTTTGAGTAAATGTTTATATTCTTTATGTTGACAGAAAGAAGATGGTGATCTTCCATTTATGCCTCCTATGGAAGGTAAACTATACCGTGTACCAAGTGGTATTCGACCTGTTATGCAGAGAACAGCAATTGAGGTTTTATGTTGGGGAGTTAGAAACATGAAGAAGTTTCAACTTGCCAGTGTTACTTCCCCCAGCATTGAATTTGAATGTGCAGGAAAAGTACTAGAGTCACCAAAGATCAAAAACACAGTGAAAAATCCAAACTTCTCCAATCCTATACTATTTTTTGATATGGTAAGATAATTTCAATTATTGATACATTGAGTATCCCATCATGCAATGCAGTTTATGATCCATTTTGTCATATTTTATTTCTAGATTTGACTAATCACATGATCCAATCCCTATTTTTTGTTTGTTTTCTAAACACTACAGATGCTACCAAAAGAAGAGCTGTACACACCTCCACTCAATGTTGTGGTACGTGATCACCGCGCATTTGGACGCAAACCAATTGTTGGGATTAATGTACTCAAATCAATTCAGAAATTTCGCTGTGAGCCGATAAAAGACTTAGACTTGGAAGATCCACCTGTATTGGAAAGTAAGTTCACATTGCATATTAGTAAATAGTTGCCAACTCTTTCTATATACGCATACAATCTGATATACTGAATACTGATAACATGCAGAATGTTCATAATACTAAAGAGCTACTTTATTTTTGGATTTCAATTAACTATAACAAATCTCTCAGTACTAATTATAATGAGTTCACTGGAGTTATACAATTTGAGTACAAGGTGTATGTCAAACAATGCCATCTGCTCACTGCCATCACTGATATTATCGTTAGACATGAAATTATCCCTCAACCTGAAATAAAACTATATCTTCCACAATAATTTATAGGACGGGCAGGTATTTTCTCAACTTTGTGTAAAGCCTGGAATTCTAAGTTGTCGTTTCCCGATACGATCAGTTATATCATTGTTGATGTCTGTTATGTTTGGCTCTATATGATGGACTAAAATGTTCTCTGTCTCTCTTTGAGAGAGTAAGACACTTTAAGATCCAGCTTTATAATGTAGTAAATTATAGTAAAAATGCATAATATGTAAACACTGATTAACAGGCTCATGTGGATGACTCAAAACTAAGGTTAAAAAATTTGCACTATATTAATATTTTGAAATTTTCATTTATATTATAACAATTTGCCTAAAATTTATTTATAATATTTGCTACACTTGTCTGTAAATATCTGTTTAACCCTTTGAACGCCAATTTCAACGTTTTTTTTTTTTTTTGATCAACATCTGTAGGCAATTGTTTATTTGATTTAAAAAGAAATAAAATGAGTAAATTTGCAAAATACAAAAATGATCGATGGCATTCAAAGTGGTTTACAGTAGTTTGTGCTTTCATAAGTAAATACAAAACATTTCAAGATTTTTTCTGCTCTTCCAATACTTTTCCACAACTTTTTTCTAATTTCATATTTTTCATACTTTTCAATGCTTATTTCTTGTTTTGTTCCTTTGTCTTCCTGTTTTCTTGTATGTTCTTCACTTGGTGGTGGCATCTGTCTGTCCGTATGTCTGTCTGTCTGTCTGTCTGTCTGTCTGGTCTGCTTGTCTATAAAGTGAATGCTGGCTCATCTCCAAGTATTGAAAGTGCTGATCAGTTACACACTGCATTGGATGATTCTGTACAGCTCATGGTTTCTGGAGGTCAGTGCAGACCATCGAGTAGGATTCAAAAGGGTATATTAACCTTGCTAATAACCTTACTAATCTCATATTTAATGCTCGCATCATTATCAATTGACAATCATAAAAAAACTGATCCCTTCTAACACTTTTCATGAATACTAAGTATGCATAATACATAATTAAGCAAATCATGTTTTCTTGGTACATGTACATGTTAGTGAACTATCACTTGTTGCATCCCTCACTAATCACAACTCTTGTTGTATTATCTGTTGACTTGACATGCTGATGTAAATTCAGTTCAGATTGGTTGAATGAATGCCATAAATACACTCTGTTTGAAATACCTACTTTTGACTCCCGTGTGCGAAGCACACAATGGGAGTCTTTGCAGTTAATACCCTGTCTGTATGTGTGTATGTGTGTGTGTGTGTGTGTGTGTCCGTCCGTCTGTTTCACTGATATCTCAAGAACCGTACATTGATTTTTGATGAAACTTAGTGCATAGATGCTCTGTGCCAATGCACAGATTTTATTAGGATTTGGTAGAAATCCATGCATACTAATTACCTAATTTGCATGATAATTAGCTCATTTTTAGCTGTTCCATGACTGTCCACTGATATCTAAAGAACCACTATTTTGATTTTGATGTAACTTGGTTCATAGATGCTCTGAACTAATGCCAGGTTTTGATTAGTTTTGGGTAAAAATCTGTGCATATTAATTACCTAATTTGCATAATGATTAGTAAATTTTCGGCTTTTCCACTGATATCTCAACTACTAATCATCACATTTCAATGAAACTTGTCATAGGACACTGCACAGACCTAGTAGTTTTTAGGGTAATATCAGTACATATTAATTACCTAATTTGCATAATAAATTGTCAGCTTTTGATATTCCAAGTAGTAAGCATTACATTTCAATGAAACATGGTACATAGATACTCAAGGACTATGCAGAGGTCTGATTAGTTTTGAGATAAATATTTGTGCATATTAATCAATTTTCGGATTTTCACGTATATCTCAAGTACTAATCATCACATTTCAATGAAACTTGGTAAATAGATCCTCTAGAACTATACAGAGATCTGATTAGTTTTGGGGTAAATAATTGTGCATATTAATTAACTTATTTGCATAATTATTTAAATTTTAAGCTTTTTCACTGATATCTCAAGTACTAATCATCACCTTTAAATGAAACTTTGTACATAGATGCTCTAGGACAATGTACAAATATGATCAGTTTTGGGTTAAAATCTGTTCATATTAATTCCCTCATTAGCATAATAATTCATAATTGTTTGGTTCTGATCACATTTCAATAAAACTTGGTACATAGATGGTCTGCTACATTGCACAGACCTTATTAGTTTTACACTCTGTTCATTTTAATTTTCTGATTTTCAGCTTTTCCATCAATATCTCAAGTACAAGTAATTTTGAATTAATATTTACTGTGTCTCTAATACTCTCAGCACATGGGAGTTCTTTCTAAGCTTTCTTTGATTTTTTTTTACTTTTGTTGTGTATAAATAATATTAAGTATCAAACAC